TGTGGTTCCTTTACCAACTTGGGGGCTGCATCATCATCTACCTGAAAACACCAGCAGAAAAGAAAAAGAATACATACATTAAATTAAAAAAATGGAGGAAAAATTAAACGCAGTAGGCTATTGTTTAAAACCAAAAAGAAAATGGGGGGAAGTACTGACGTTATCACTTTCACTGTAATCGTCAAAGACATGATCATCAACATAGTCATCCGTATCATCAACTCACGTACTCTAGATACTTCCATCGGCCAGAAGTCCAGAAAACACTTTTCCAGTTTCACTGGTTTCCTCAATCACAATTCTAGCCTTCAATCAGAACAATACAAAAAATAATCAAAACAAATTATAAGAAAAATCAAAAGAAAAAGGGAAATATGGACTTAAAACTAGATTGATTATTGCCCTAATTTCGCCGGAATTCAATCTGCAGAACCGGAGATCTTACCTGGTCATCATTGAGACCAAAGGGCAATTGATGATCATCACAAAGCATGATTCTCGACTTCGATCGAACCAAGATAAACAAAATCAAACAAGATTTTCGAAAGAATCAATCAAGTAATTGATGACAGATTCTTGGTGTCCCAATTATTTCGTCCACTTCTGAGATGTTTCCCGCGCAGACTCGCTTTCTATCTTGGGTTTGGGAGAGCTGAGTTTAAAGTTTTATTGGATCGGAATCGGATTGGTACTAGGCGGGCTTCATTAAGGGCCCAAAGCCTTTGGTTGGATGTGCGTTGGACTTTGGAGATCTCAATTATATTTTCTCAATTTAGTAGTATTATTTATTTTAGTTTATACATATGAAAATTGTTCTCAATTTGGAATTACAAGAAATAATTAAATTATTAATCATAACTTAGAGATTGATTCATGAGTGTACGAAAATTAGAAATTCTTAGTCAAATGAGATTGTGACTTATGAATTTCATCAAATTATACTGTTTATACATATGTTGGGTTATAAACTACTAAATCCGTCCCAAAAAAATAGTCCATATTGAGTTTTGAAATTTGTACTAGTTTTAGTACAAATTTGAAAACTCAATATGGACTATTTTTCTAGGACGGAGGGAGTACTATATAGAACATATATAGGGATGCACCAAAAAATAGAGTGCTTGTTTGGGTTGTTACTTTTTAGGGGCTGTTTATCACGTTTTTGGAATTTGAGTGTTTGATAATGATTTTCTTTTCATTTATGGATTAGTGACATGTTTCATTTTAAAATATCGTAGTGGTAACAATGATGAATACATGTCAACAGGTGAGACATCTATCTAGAAGAGTGTGAATTGTTCTAATAGTGATTAAAACACCTCAACCGATATAACTAAGGTAACTCAATGAGTGGGGATATCCAGTAAAATATTAAAAACACTACTATAATAATGACTACAGTTAGTGATTTGGACTTTGGACAAGTGATTTAATCACTTCAACGGGAGCGACCGAGATACCTCAATAGATGGAACATTTAGCCAAAAAAGAAAAAAAAAATACTAATGTAATAATGACTAAGGCACCTAATTGGATGGAAATAAACAATTTATGAAAATAATTTATTGTCGAATTATTTGTATTAGGGCACAATAATTATATTTTATTATGTATCATACAAACAACTACCCAAGCTGAAGATCAAAAATATATATAATATAGAGTAGATTTATTAAACAGCAATTTGGTATAATTTGGAATTGAAAACGGCTATACACTATTTTTACGTATATTTTTTTTATATATGTTTTGTAGGTGTTAAAAAGATCATATGTTTTCATATTTAATTTTTTCTTTTATATTTGTACTATAGTGAAAATTGAATTAGACAGTCATTTTAAGATTGCACTAAAAGTCATTTCAAGATTGCACTGAGAGTAAAATATATAACTAGATAATCAGTTCTAGATGGAGGGAGTACGGTACATGGGCAAATCCAAATATGAAGGAAAAAAACCAATCATATGTTACGGTATAGAAATATTATTTTCTCATGTCCACTTAATAAGAAGTTTTTAGAATTTGAGCATTTGATAATGATTTTCTTTTCACGTTTTAAATTAGTGACATTTTTTTTCAATATCATAGTGGTAAAAGTAACAAATACATATCAATGAGAAGGTTTTTTTTTTTTTTTTCTAAGAAAATGGGCATTGCATTTTTCGGCCCCTAAAGATATCTCCAATCATTACACTATATTTTACACAAAATTAGTGTAGAAATAAAATATTCCTACCATCTTTTTGCACCAAAATTTTTTTGCACTCCAACCTTGATACACCAAATTTGGTGTGAAAATAAAATTTTTTCACATTACATTTTCATTGAATTATGATAATTCATATTTATGCTACAAGTTTTTATAATGTAGTGTTTCGGGTTGTAGTTCGCGAAGTACTTATTCTTTTTAATACTTTTGTTATTATTCAATTTTAATGGTAATAAACATAAATTTTTTACAAAATAAATATTATAGGTGATATGGGTCTTATTTTGAAGATCTCAAAAAATTAAATAATATGATATCACTTTAATAAATAATATATTTTTTAAGTTTAAAAATATATCAAATCATGTTTTCTATCAAAATAAAAAAAAAATAGTGCACAAAGATAGTGCAATTGTTAGTTTACACCAAATTTGATGTAACTTTATCCATTGCACTAAAATAGTGCACTAATTTGGTGTTTTCTTGGAATATAAATTTTACATCAAAACACCAAATAGATTGTTTTGGTGTCTTCCTTGAAAATGCTCTAAAGAGGTCATTATATTGAGATCTTGGAATATCACGGTGATGATGATAAACATCCAGCTCGGGCATTCGGCCTTTTCCGATGATCTTCACATTTGAAGACTTTCACTGTAAACTAATTTTTTTAATGTCTACTCCCTCCAGTCCTTAATATAAAGCATTTTGATCTTGTCCTGCGTTTCACCTAATACGCATTTTTAATTCACGCAAAAAGTTTAAAAATATATTTGCACATTCATCGTATTGTCTTGATTGCTATGAATGTTTTTAAGGTTTTTTTGTCAATTAAAAATACGTACTAAATGAAACATAGGACGAAAACAAAATATCTTGTATTAAGAACCGGAGAGAATATTTTAAAGATCAGGATACGCCGAATGATTTAAAACACTTATATTTTCTGTATGCACATAAGATATTCAATACATGATATTTCACGGATTTGCCTGGGCAAGCATCTATTTTGTTTAATAGAATCTACAAGTGCCTGATAATGCTAATGATGAAACTAAAATGAAAGTTGGTTTGACACTAATACAAAATCAAATATCCACTGAAATGCGGAAATTTTGGTATATTTACCTAAGTATAGAATATTTTTGGGATACATGTGATAGTACAGATAAATTTCTGAAGAAAAATGATGTGCAGCAATCGAAACGAGTGGTAGACAATATATGTAGAAGGAAGAAAACTTGGAAAAGGAATTAATTGCAATATAGAATGAAGAAAATCCGGAAAATTAAGGAAATAATTAAATTCTCCACCTACGGCGAAACAAAATGAGGTAGAGATTAATGGGCATGTTCTTCATGATAAGGAAATTTTCATTCACATACTCTGGAATTTTGGAGTGTACCCTAGTGTAGAACATGTCTCTAATACAAACATCAACAACAATAACTATAATAATAATTTCTTTTGTTGCGTAAAAACCTTGTATGTGCAGCTATTGCAGCTGGATATTATTACATTTGGAGAGCAAGGAATCAGATGATCCATGAAGGACGGTGCAGGTCTGCAAAAAGCTGTGTTGTGGATATCCAGACAGAGCTGAAATGGAGGGTGAGGAGCAAGATACCAAAACCAACTGTCAGTGAAAAGGAACTTCTGCAATCTTTGGCCTTATGGTGAAGCAGTATGGTCATAGAAAGTACTGAGTGTCCTGGTTTTTGCTGTGTTTTCTTTTGTAGTTGCTGTGTGAGAATAGTTAGTATGATAGCTGAGTGTAAATGATGTAAATAAGTGACAGTTTTGAGCCTTTTTTTTTTTTTTTTGAAGAAAAGCAATATAATTTACTCGTTACCGGAAAAAAAAATTAGGCAGGCCATGGTTTTCGACCGGCGATGCTTTATGGATCCGAGTGTTGGGCCACTAAATATGAAAATGAGCAAAAAATGAAAATAGCGGAGATGAGAATGTTAAGATGGATGTGTGGGCATACTAGACTAGATAGGATTAGAAATGATGATATTAGAGAGAAAGTAGGGGTAGCTCCAATAGACGAAAAAATGAGAGAAAACCGTTTAAGATGGTTTGGGCATGTGCGTAGGAGACTGGTAGAGGCTCCGGTTAGAAGGGTAGAGGCTATAGAATCAAGATTTCAAATTAAAAGGGGTAGGGGTAGACCTAAGAAAACATGTAAAGAAACTATAAAAAACGATTTGAAATTTTTAAATTTGTCCGATGAGTTGTGCACCGACCGTACACGATGGCGACATATGATCCATATAGCCGACCCCACCTAGTGGGAAAAAGGCTTGTTGTTGTTGTTGTTGTTGTTGTTGTATGGTGCTATCTATACTTGTACCAAAGAGGTGAAGTATTCAAGCGTTTTTTCGGCATAGTATGACATTCTAAGTCCAAGGACAATAAAAAAAAAGCACAGTGAAACATAGACATTATCTTCTCAAGATCAAAGCTACTTTTTTTTTCTTTTTTTTTTAAGATCAAAGCTGCCCTAATATGTTATGTGTGTGTGTGGGGGTGTTAAATCAGAACCAGAGGTTAACATCACAAATCACAAGCAAACTCCATTGTGGGTCCGAGCCAAATTAAATTACTTATTACATTACATACATAACATTTGCATGATGCACCACAAATAGCAAAAATTGGCAAAACAAAAGCAGCAATTAGTACCATCTACTATAACATGCCTGTTAATTTATAAGAAAACCAAACGAGCCAAAAAAGAAAACACACACACACAAACAAAGATCCATCAGCAGGCAATCATCAGCTCTCATGCATCTTCTACATCTTCTATTGATGAATATTCATATTCAGTCACAGTTTCTCCTACATCTTCCTTGTCAAAAACCACCTTCCAGCCATCAGCGCCAACATAGTACCCTGAGAGAGTGAGAGAGAGAGAGAGAAAGAGAGGGAGAGAGAAACAATAAGATAAACACACACATAGACACACAAGCTAAATTAAAACAAAGTGAAAAATAGGAAAGATACCACTAATGAAACGACCAGTTTGTCCATTTACATAGTGGCGTTTAACCATAGATGCAGCAAAGCGAATAGATCCCTTGGCAAACTTTACAGCATCCTCTTCAAGCATATCCTCACGGAAACCCCTATACAGAAAGACCAACAAATTAGAAAGACCAAGGTGACAAGAGAATTTAACATTTTACGTGAGATACTAGATATCAAAAGGAAAAGGAGGCAACTACCCCGTATCGTATCCATACGTAGCAGATATTGAACCAGATCCAGCAGCAACAACTCCTTCTAAAGAAGGCTTACCGTCACCATCCACGCAATACAATCTAGGCCCCTACATGAAGACAATCATAATCATGAGGGTAGTGATCAAGGAGGGCTGAATCTGAAATTCCATTTGTAAGAAGAATGATACCAACATTCAAAACTCCGTCCCATCCTGCAATCGTTATTTTCATTGAAGAACCCCTCTCACTGCTAGACGAACGTAGAGAGCTAGCCACCCATTGTGATACCTCTTCAACAGAGCTTATTTTCCCCTTTCCACGTTCATGATCTTGGTACTATATCGTAGAATAAAACTAATCACTGTGTCTCCCTAAAGACAGCCACATAACCATACAAAAATACAAACAACAACCTAGTTTCTTAACCCATTTTTGGGAATAGAGAGTAACAAAAAGTATATATCGCCAGACATTCCTGACACATACATATAATAACCAGGGATCAACCTAATATGACTCTTTACATACTTACAATTCTCTATTGAAATTGCACTAGCAAAAAGAAAAGTAAATGTGGCACCTTGCTTTGGAGATCTCTGAGAAAGGATCCACAGTTCTCTACCTCTCCAGAAAAAGCAACAAGAATGTGACTGCTAAGATCAATAACGTTCTCGACAGATTCTGATGCAAAATTTAGAGAAGTTTAATTAGTAACACTCCCTTCGTCCCAAAGAGAGTAATGAGGCTAGGGCACTTACATTATATACATAAAACTAACACATAAGCAAAAGTACGGAAAAAACTCACCACAGGAATGATGATTAACAGCAACTATAACCCCTCGGTTTAAAACAAAGGCAAAAGTAGTGATTCCCTTCTCCACCTCTGGGGCTACATCTCTCTCCTGAAAACACCATTCAAAAAAAGAAAGAAATAATAAATATGGTAAAACCAACGGAAAATGCGTAAGGAAAATCAGAGAAATGGGGGAGAAGACTAACGTAAATACTCATATCACTGCCACTGCCACTGTCATCGTCGCTCTCTGAACTAAGGCCATCGTCGAAAGGAAGGGGAATGAACCTACTCTTAGCAGAAATATGAACGGCAGCCTTCAATCAAAGCAGATATAAACAAAATCGAAACAAATAAGTACAATCATAATCAAAGAAGAAAGAAAAACATCAACATAAAAGTTATTATGTGGGATTCTTTCCCTTGTAATTCGTAAACAATCCAATTCGCAGGAGGAAACGGAATTTTAAAAGAAATCAGAGATTTTAACACGTTATCAATCAGATCATCGGATCGACTGCTTTCAGATCTCATGGTTCTCGACTTCAACCCAAGCAAGATGATCAAAATCAAATGCAATCAGCGAATATATATATATATATATATATATTTGAATTGAAGTTAAAATTGATTATTGCCCTAATTTCGCCGGAAATTAATCCGCAGAATTTGAGATCTTACCAGGTCATCATTGAGATCAGAGGGCAATTGAAGATCAGCAGAAACCATGATTCTCGACTTCGATCGAACCAAGATAAACAAAACCAAAGAAATTTTTCAAAGAATCAAAGTAATTGATGATGGATTCTTCGTGCCCCAATTATTTCGTCCACTTCTGAGATGTTTCCCGCGCAGACTCGCATTCTATCTTCGGCTTCGGAGAGCTGAGTTTAAAGATTTATTGGATCGGAATTGGATTGGTAGAAACATTTTGGGCTTCCTTAAGGGCCCAAAACCTTTGGATGTGCGCTAGACTTGGAAGATCTCAATTAGTCAATTTGGAGACCCTGCATACGCAACCGTGTTAAAAGGCTAGTTGGTAGAGGTTACTTTCCGAAAGGGACTTACCCGCCTCGAGTCCGAATTAGTCAACGGTCAGTTGACACTCACGGGTGTACCGATAGCGTCTGGATAGCGGATACGTATAAAAAAAAAAAGTCAATTTGGAATTACAGAAATTACAATAAAGGATTAAATCATTATTCATAACTTAGAGATTGATTAATGAGAATTCGGAAAGTTGAAATTCTAGGCCAAATGAGATTTTGTGACTAATGAAATTAAAGACAGAATCATCAAACTAGTATAATTAGGGAAAAGGACAAAACCCTCCAAGTTATGTCCAAAAGACAAATTGCCCCCGATATTTCATATAAGGACAATAACCTTCCTACCACTAAGTCAAAGAACAATTTGCCCCATACGTTAGCAAATCTTAGTGTAAAAGACAGGAAATGCCTTTCAATCTAAAAAGATTTTTTTTTTTACACAAAACCTACCCTCTAACCAACTCATTTATTTTTTAAAAAATTATAAATTCTATTATCCGTCATTTTAAATCCATCGCTAACTCTTTTTTTGATGCATTATTTCTCCCTATTACTGCCGCCTCAATAAAATGAATCTGAGATAGAAAATTTTTATCTATCAAAATCATAAATTCTATTTTTATTTATCTGGATAAATGAAATTTAGGGTTTTGATAGATTAAATTTTCAATCTTGGGTTTATTTTTATTGAGGCGGCAGTGATAGGGAGAAATAATGTATCAAAATGGAGTTAGCGCCCGATTTAATCGGAGCCAAACTGTTTAAGGATTTGAAAAAAAAATAAAATAAAAGAACTGGTTGTAGGTTATGTTTGGTTTTGAAAAAAAATATTTTTAGGTTTAAGTGTATTTTTTCTTTTTGTACTAAAAATTGCTAATACAGGGGGCAAATTGTCCTTTGACCTAGCGCTAGGGGAGTTATTGTCTTTATACAAAATGTCAGAGGGTAATTTGTCCTTTGAACATAACTCAGAAGTTTTTGTCCTTTTCCCTTATAATTATATACTACCAACTTGATGAGGAACAACTATGTATTTCTACATATGTTGCGTTAGAAACTATTTTATTTCATTTTAAAGTTTCATAGAATGGGATGTTCCATAAAATGGAGTGTTTGTTCCGGTTGATACTTTTTAGGGGTTGTTTAGTAGGATTTAAATTAAAATTTTCTAATTAAAGAGAAAATTTCATATACTTATAGATTTTGACAGTAATAAATCAAAAGGGGAGTAACATTAATAATATAAAGGTCCTTCAAATTAGTTTACATATAAACTAAGAGCATCCACAATGGTTTACAATATCATAGATTTTCAATATGATACTTTCATAGTTTCATTAAGCTTTTCAATACATTGAATTACAGTGCAAAAGTATAATAAAATGAAATCATTTTAATAACGTTGTAAATTCACGTTGATTATACTATTTTAATTATAAAAAAATGTAGTATACCGTGTAAGAAGTCTTTAAACCATATAATATTATTATCACACTCAACACAATCATAAATAGTACAATAAAATGGTCAATCATAAATATTATTATCACGCTCACATGGCCCTCCGTGGCGTCAACCCCAATGCATTCCTGGCTTCGAAAATGGTTGCCATGTACGCTAGCTCCGGCAACATAACCTCCGCTTTCCGCTTATTCAGAACCGTTACTTGGCCGTCGACGTTGCTGTTTAATGCAATCATTCGAGCGTTTACCTTATACGGGGAGTATTATAATACTATTGGGGTGTATTTTCATATGCATTCTCTGGGGCTGCGTGGCGATTATTTCACTTTCCCGTTTGTGTTGAAGTATCGTATACGGAGTTGGGGAAGTCTGTTCACGGGCTGAGTTCGAGGAGTGGACTGGATTTTGATACCTCTGTTAAGGAACTTTCTTTGATCGAAGCGCCAAATGGGGCGGACCTATTTTAGTAGTAGGAGTAGCGCCACTCAAATTCTCGAATGGAAATGCTTATTAACATCACATTGTCGAACTAACCATCCCAATACCAAAACATAGCAGGGTATCCATCCGGCAACTGTTTCCTCCAGCCAGGGCTTATCTTCATCTCCATTTACAAAACGGTGCGCATACAACCAATGTTCAGCTTGATAACGCCCGAATTGCAGTGGCTCTCTCCCTGAGGAGTCGTCACTGAGATAGTGGTAGCTTTATAACTCCCGAAATGGATAATGTCTTTTGTTGCGTTCTATCAAATTATATCGACAAACTTACTCATCCTCCCTATTTTGAGAGTGACATAAGCATATGCTACAAAGATTAGGCAGGCCAGGGAGAGTTTCTCAAGCTTCCAAGAACAACATAAAAGAATCACGGTGAAACACAGAGATGTGACAATGTTCACCCAATTTCTCCTTTCAGAGGACAGATGGAAATCTACTCAAGAACTAGGCCTGTGTTCTATGAAATGACCAATCATGCATTTTTAAGAGGTAAAAAGTGCCAATACATTAACCAGAAGTTTCACCATGGTAGATTATTATGGTGATAAAACACAACTAGAGGTAATAAAAAAAAAAAACCATCAGAGCAGATTATTCATGTCAAGCGCAAAAACTAAATTACCAACCTAAATTCCATACATAATTTTTGCATATAGGTCTTGAAATAACCACAGATCCACCAGAAATTGCACAAAATTGACAAAACAAGAGAATCCGGCAATCAAAAGCTCTCCTGCATCTCTTCTCCGACATCTTCTTCTATATCGGCGTCTTTAGTCACAACTTCTCCTACATCTTCCTTATCAATGACCATCTTGCACCCATCAGCTCCAACATAGAAACCTTAAAACAAGAGAGATTTATCAGAGAAAAAGAGAAACACACACAACACACACAAAAGCTAACTTGCAAAAAAGCAAAAATAAAAAACATACCACTAATGAAACCACCATTTTGTCCATTATCATAGTAGCGTTTAACCATAGATAGAGCATAGCGAATAGTCTCCTTTGCAAACTTTATAGCGTCCTCATCAGACTTATTATTGCGGAAACCCCTATACAAAAACACCAAGAAATCAGGAAGACCAAACGACAAGACCACTTAACATATCATGTAATATACTAAATATCAAAAGAAAAAAGGAGGCAATTACCTGGTTTCGCATGCACACTCAGCAAATACTGAACCATATCCAATAGCAATAAGGCCTCCTACAAACAGCTTACCCTCACCATCCACTTCATACAACCTAGGCCCCTACATGAAGACAACAACCAGAATCATAAGGGAAGCGAATCAGGAAGGCTGAACCAAAAATTCCATTAGCAAAAAGATTGGTACCAACATTTACAACTCCGTCCCACCAGCAATCATTATTTTTATTGACACCTTCTCACTGCTAGATGAACATAGATAGTCAGCCACCCACTCTGATGCCTCTTCAACAGAAACTATTCCCCCCTTTGAAATTTCATGTTCCTGGTACTATATCATAGAATAAAACCAATCATCAGTCTCCCAAAAGACAAGCTTTGGGAAATGAGAGTAACAAAAAGTATATATTATGAGATATTCCAGACACACACAATTGTATAGAAATTGATCTAGGATGACTCTTTACATACTTATTATAATTCTCTATAAAAATATACAACCAAAACGAAGAGGAAATATGGCACCTTGCATTGGAGATCTCTGAGAAAGGATCTACAGTCCTCCATCTCTCCAGCAAAAGCAAGAAGGATGGAACTACTAAGATTAATAACGTTCTCCACAGATTCTGATGCCAACAAATTAATGTAGAGAAGGGTGATTTCGTAACTTTTTGTTTAATAGTAAATAAATGTAGAGCACATGCAAAGACTAAAATACATATGGCAAAAGTATTGAAAACCTCACCACTTGAGTGATGATTAACAGCAACTATAACGCCTTGTTTGAAAGTAAAGGCTAAAGTAATGGTTCCCTTTCCCAAATCGGGGGTTGCATCTCTCTCCTGAAAACATCATTTCAGCACAAAAGAAAAAGAAAGATAAAAGAAGAATAAAAATGGCAAAAACGGAGAAAGATGGAAGGAAAAGAAGTAAAAAATGGGGAAAAGACTAACGCAAATACTAATGTCGTCAGGGCCACTGTCGTCGTCGTAACCATCTGAGGAGAAGTCATCGTTAGTAACGTCAAAGAACCTCCTCTCGTAATTTCCGTCGGTAGAAATATCTATGCCAGCCTTCAATCAAAGCAGATATAAACGAAATCAAAAAATCAAAGGAAATAACGACCCAAGTGATTATTGCCCTATTTCTTAAACAATCCAATTTGCAGAAGAAAACGGAATTTTGAAAGAAACCAAAGATTTTTACCACGTTATCGATCAGCGCAGATGGCAATTGATCATCGGGTCGACTGTATTCAGAACTCATGGCTCTCAACTTCGATCCAAGCAAGTTAATCATAATATCAAAGCGGCGAACGAAAAAGGAAGAGGAAATCCCCAATTTTAATCGATTTTTTATGCTAAAGAAGATAGAGATTCGCCGATGTCTCACTTCTTTACATGGAAACACTAACCATACGAGCGGGTTGGTAGCATCTCAACTTTTTGGAAACACTAACCACTTCAATTCAATCCCAATTATAAATGAATCAATCAACACTAAATTCAGTTAAAATTTATACATCTAATATATCACAATTCTAGCCTTCAAACAAAGCAGGAAAAACAATAATCAAAACAAAGACAATAAAGTCAAAAGAAAAGGGAAAATATCTGAATTGAAGTTAAATTCATTATTGCCCTAATTTCGCCGGAATTCAATCCGCAGAATTTGAGATCTTACCAGGTCATCATTGAGACCAGAGGGCAATTGATGATCATCAGAAACCATGATTCTCGACTTCGATCGAACCAAGATAAACAAAATCAAAGAAGATTTTCGAAAGAATCAATCAAGTAATTGATGATAGATTCTTGGTGTCCCAATTATTTCGTCCACTTCTGAGATGTTTCCCGCGCAGACTCGCTTTCTATCTTGGGTTTGGGAGAGCTGAGTTTAAAGTTTTATTGGATCGGAATCGGATTGGGAGTAGCATTTGGGCTTAAGGGCCCAAAATCTTAGGTTGGATGTGCGTTGGACTTTGGAGATCTCAATTGTTTTTTATTTATTATTATTTATTTTAGTTTATATTTATGAAAATTTGGGATATCTCAATTTGGAGTTACAAGAAATTACAAGATGATTAAATCATTAATCATAACTTAGATATTGATTGATGAGTAGGAAAGTTGAAATTCTTGGTCAAATGAGAATTTGTGACTAATGAAATTTAAGACAGAATCATCAAATCATACTCTTTATAATTAAACTACCAAGTACCAACTTGATGAGGAAAAACTATGTACTTGTATTATTTCATTTTAAAGTTTCATAGAACAAATATAGGGATGTGCCAAAAAATGAAGTGTTTGTTCCGGTTGCTACTTTTTAGGGGCTGTTTAGTACGTTTTTTCAAATTTTCTAATTAATGAGAAAAATTGATGTGCTTATAGATTTTGACCATAATAAATCAAAAGGGGAGTAACATTAATCATATAAATGTCCTTCGCGAGTTCTTATATCGTGCACATGATTCATCATATATGGTGCACTGGTCTAATTAATGGAGGTTATTTAAAGAATAAATTATTAATTAAAATATTACTGATATTAAATTTGTCAATCCTCTTTTCATATTTAATATCATATATCATTTATTCAAACTAATTACATGATTAAAAAAATTCAAAAAGGAAGAAGTATTTATTTATTAATGTACTTCTATTCATACAAAAAAAAACTAAAGATTCGTAATCATACAGTGTAAAATTCATGAATAATAAACATATTTTTCATATCAAACTAGCGTTTACCCCGCAAGTTGTACGGTTATTTCAAAATATATATGAGTTTAATAATTTAACGATAAAAGTTTTTTCAATTTACCTATTTTATACTTTCTTTTCCCCTAGAATTTTCCTTTTCTGTAATTTTTCTTCAATTGGTTGCGACTGCTGAAATTACATACAAGTAGAGTTTTTCTTTTGGATGTAATAGGATTTGAAGTGAAGAAAAATGAAAATGGAGAATAATGAGGATGATGGTCGTCAATAGAGTGAGGATTTTTTTTTCCTTCCTTTAAGGTAGGAATGGGAAGGGGTTTGGTGTTTTGGAAAAGGTGTGGGAATTAAATGGGTTCGGGAAACTTTGGTTTGAGATGAGTATTTTAGGCCTTGTTTGGACAATCTTCCATTTTATATTTTCACTCATTTTACCTCTTAAACACAAAATCCAATAGAAAAAAAAAATCATCTAAACAACTTTCTGATTTACATTTTAAATTCCAACTTGAAACACTTTTTGTTAGTGTAATGACCATTTTAGAACTACAAATAGTTCAGTGATAAATTTGGTAGGATTCCGTTGTTGAGTGATTTTTTTGGAAAAGTTCTTTTTTGCAGTGACTATAATTGACAGTATTTAATTGTTTAGTGATGACTTGTATTTGATATTTCAAAATGTAGTTCAAAATACTTTTTTTCAAAAACAACATCCAAACAACATTTTTATTTCCCATTTAATTTTTAATTTGAAACACTTTCCACTTTTAAGTGCAAAATGAAATATAAGTTGACGTCCAAACAAACACTAATGATTCGCACTGATTTTACTGATTTCCAATGTGTTTTGTGAAATAATTTTAAATATTCAAAATCATTTAATGTAACTTATTGTCCATCTTTTTCGTTTTGCTGATTTATGTCTTTCTATGTTTTAAAATATTCTCTTAATTTTTTATAATGATCTCTATAAATAATTTTTTCCATCTCCGTATAACTTTTATAACCTTTCTTTAGTATGTTTGTTTGTTTTTTTCTATAATATAATGTTTACTTCTTTTTTTCCTTGGTTGCATAGTCTTCCCCCCTTTTTTTTTCTTAATTTAATGACCTATCTTTAAAATTTCATTTCTTGAAAACCTTGTAATAATTATTTCATTTTCACTATTATCATGTATTCTTTTTTCATTTTTTCTTATTCTCTACATAATTTTTTTCCCATATAATTATTTTCATTTCTTTAATATGTTTTTCTTAATTTGTTTGTCGCTCACCAAAACATTTATCCTCTTTTTCATTTTAGAATTTTTCCTCTATTGATCTCTACGTTTTTTTTTTTATCAACATATCGTTAACTTTTTCTACCATCGTATCATATGAAAAAAATATAATGAATTACCTAATTGATTCTTTTAAACTTTACTACAGATTACCAATTTTCATCAATGTTAGAAGATTCATCAATGAAAATTGCATGCCAAACTTGATGTCCAAGATGCATATGCAAAGGAGAAAAAAAAAAAAAAACTATTTAGCATCGGTATGGAGTGTTAGTTCTCTTAACTAAGATGAAATAATTTTGATTTTGGAAAATCGAAAATATGCATCTTATTATTTTCTTTTTTTTTTTAACTGGACCTGTCAATATTATAAGGAATAAATTAATTAGAATAAATAATTTACTGATTAATTAGAATTTACTGATTATTATCGAATAAATAATATTTTTGTTCTAATATGATTATCCAATTTAGATTTTCATTTTAGTCAAATCGTTTTGAGATGGATGGAGCATATTAAATCTAATTTCTAGGTAGTGTTATAATATGTGGTTAAACATAATCTTATACGGATCCTTATTTTAAAAGTCTTGTATGTTCATCTTCCTTTTTTTTTCAAAATTTTTAATATATTTTGGTCACATCTCAATCATTTTTTTTAAACATTTCAACCAATTAAATATATTGTAAGTGTCTAATTTTTTGTTGTAAATGTCTAATAATTCCAAGATAATATTTAAATTATAGTTCACTTTTCAAATCCTATAATTAAATTGGATTCTTAGATTTAGGAAAAAAAGGATACGAATTTAAAAAAAGAGAGATAAAAAAAAAGTGCATATGTATTCGTTGCCCAATTATTTATTAAGTGCTTTAATTCTGAAAGACATGAATCTAAGATAAGTGCTTTAATTAGATTGATGATTCCGTGTTCTTTTTGGTTTGTTCCTTTTATAAGTTGATTTTGATAGTTATATTATTCTTCTGCACAAATAAATCGGGTAAAATTAATTATTTATAGATTTTACGGATTTACAAATAAAAACTACCGTTAAATGATTGAGTAATGTGAACCCGACATGTGGACTTAGCTATCTAATTTTTTACCACGTGGGTTAACCTATCTAATTTTACGCTATGTGTCTGATTGAAAACTCTAATTTAACTTATATTATCTTAATTTTTTATAATAATCTCTATAAATAATTCTACATGTCTCATATCTTTTAAACTCTCCATCTAGCAGAAAATTTTCTTATTATTTCTTTCGATAGAATTTTTTTTTTATTTTCCATTTCTCTATATACTTTTTACAACCTTTCTTTAAAAGTTTTTTCAAATATTTTTCCTATAATATAGTGTTTATTTCTTTTTTTTTTCTTGGCTGCATAGTCTTCGCTTTTTTCCCCAAATTTGATGACCTCTTTTTAAAGTTTCATTTCTTGAAAAATTTGTAATTTCATTTTTCATTATTACCCCCGTTTCTTTATTCATATTTTTTTATTCTCTACATAAGTTTTTTTCCCTATATAATTATTTAACTTCTCAATATACTTTTCATATAATATTTGTCTCTCACGAAGACCTTTATTCTTTTTCTTATTTTCAAAAATTTTTTCCCTATTGATCTCTACATTTTCTTTTTATCATGATAACATTAAATTTTTCAACCATTATATCATATGAAAAAATATAATGAATCATTTGGTTGTTTTTTTTTTAAAAAATATTTTGCTCCACGTTACTAATCTTTGTTAATGTTACAAAATTCATCGATGAAAAACGCATGTGACATTTAAATTTCAAGATGCATATGACAAGAAGGAAAAAAAAATAAATAAAATTTAGTTCCGGTATGGAGTATTAATTATCTTAACTGCGATGAAACAACTTTGATTCTGTGTATCTTATTATTTCTTTTTTTTTAATCCGTACATGTTAATGTTATAAGGATAAATTAATTTAAATTGTTGTAATTTATTTTTTAAAAAAATTTATCTTATTTGATATTGATATTTAATTATGTTTAATTTAATAATTATTTTCAATAATATAAGATAATTACAAAACCAAAAGCCATATAAAGAATGATATATAAGACCACGACCAGGAGTAAACATATACTTGATTATTAAGTTCTCTTTTCTACTTTGCCGAAGTGAGCTTCTTTTTACATTTTCCTTATGGTAATTTATACTATTCTTTGTACGCATCATTACTAATGGACTCTTACTACAATTACAATTGTTATAGGATTAGTGGAAGTGGAATTATGCTGAATTTTTTTATTAGGGTTTCTTTATACTCTATAATAACCGGGGGTTAACAAAATTAGGATTTAGTTGTCGTTAATTTTACAACTTTTTTCCTTTTTGTTTTTAGTTATTTTAGTTTTATATATAAATTTACGGTTTTACATTAAAAATTATCATTAAATGATGAAGTGACGTGGATGCGACATGTGGAAATGCCAACACATTCCTGGCTTCGAAAATGGTCGCAATTTACGCTAGCTTTGAAAATAGTCTTGTGCGGATTTGCATTCGGGCCATAAAATATCTTGTAAAAAAACACATCACCTTCTAGACCTGGAAAATACTAAAGCTGAGAATGCAGAGCAGAGTACTGCATCCAAATCCAACTTACATCGTACATGTTGATTGATGCGCAACTGTGGGTTTTGCATTTGTCGCCGACTCATCTGCCAAGCAATATGAGGTTTTTGGTTCACATGGAAGAGATTTAGAAAGGCATGTTGAAGCTTGATTGTGGTCCCTGAGTATTGTGCTTGTTACACTCCTCCTGAAGAAGATTAAAAAACCTTCTCTGCAATTAATGCATTTCTGCTCCAAATCAAATCCCTTGTGTTGAACCTTGTCTGGATGAACACACCTAGCGGCTTACCTATAAACCTTTCTCGCAGCTGCAGGAGCAATTAAATCTGTCAAGGAAACAGGCTTCCATCCGCATTCGGGCCATAAAATATCTTGTAATGATGACAGAAGAGCAAGCAAATTGCCTTCTTTTCCTGCTGACCAACGCTTTACACGACAATCCACAGTCTCAGCATCATCATTTTCTATTTAAGAATCGTCTTCAAAGCTAAGTAGGTCATTAGGCATCTGCTTCTTTCTTGTTAACTTCAGTTATTACCCATGGTGGCTCTTAGCAGTTGCAAATTTTTCCAGCTCATCCACGGAAAAATCAGCCGATCGATGCACTTCCAGTACTTGCACCAATTCCAGGGATCAAATCATCCGACTTGGCCTCATCCTTCTTCGTATCCCGGTTACCAAAATCAAATCCGCCCAACAAATCATCACTACCAGCCGGTGGCGACGTTTCATTGTAGAAATTTGAACCCGAGCTGGCGTTAAAATTATTGACGAAGCCAAACAAAGAGTCCAAATCCATGTTCCCTGGTGATCCTGATGGTTGTGGCGCCTTTGAGCCTCCAACCCCGTCAGCGTAATTATTGTTCTTGGGCTTGAAAATCCCATCGCCTTCCTCCACAAAAATTCATCCCAAACATTTGGATTTGATGGAGTCGGTGGAGCTTTTGGAGAAAAAGTCGGTCGGTCGTCTTTTTACAACATAACCCCAAATTTTAATTGATTTACAATTTGTTTCCTACTAGTACATATATTTCTTTCTTAGAAAAGGAGAAGCTAACTATCATTCCAAGAATAAAAAGTATCATCTGCAAAAAAAATACTAAGATTTAATTCCCTCCCTTTCGATTAAACTAAAACTCAAATTAAAATTAGAAATAATCTTGGGTAGATAAAGAAATACAAACTTGAAACCCACCAGAGAGAAATAAATAGCCTAACAGAGAGTTACAATGTCACTTGGGAAAGTCAAATTCGCATTCTCCGACTTCCAAATATTCAATTGTGTGAAATCTCCAGAGCGATTTGACCAATTTAACAAAAACAAGTCAAAAGTTTACACCATTTTAATGTTTTTAATTTCTTTAGTTAATAAACTAAGCAAGAAAATTTGTTCCAAAAAAGAAAAAAAACTAAGCAAGAAATATGTAGTACTATAAGCCGCAAAAGCCAAAAGGGAGGGTGATTGGCTGATTATATGCAAATGTTTATCGTGATCAGATGGATAAGATAATCATAAACATGGAGCGAAAAGTACGGGTCTTTTGTTAATTAATAAGATTTTTCAGGAGAGAATTTGATATTCATTTCGTTCTAAAATACTCCCTCTGGTCCTTAATAAGGTATTTGATTTTGTGTTAGGTTTTACTTAAGATACCTTTTTAATTAGAGAAAAAAATCTTAAATATATATTTTCACATTTCTTGTATTCTTCTAATTATTAGAAAATGCTTTTAAGATAAGGAAATATTTTTAAGCCTTTTATTTCAATAAAAGAGACATCTTAAGTAAAATTTAGGACTAATCAAAATGTCTTATAATAAGGACCATATGGAGTAATAGTTTTACTTTTAATATAAATTGTACTAAAAATAAAAATTTAAACTTATGATTTATTTTCAAACCAAGGAAATAGATAGTGTTGATGGATTTAGTTTAGTTTTGATGGTGTTCGGATGGTGTACCAAATTTCAAGTACATAAAGCAACCTCAATTGTCGGGTCGCAATGCAGTTTTCTTGAAAGATGATCAAGTCAGCTTTCCGGTTCTAGACTTCTGGTTATCAATCAGATTGCTTAACATATAACATGAACATCGTGCATTTCAAAACCACCAGGAAGGAATCAAACTACTACGCGCTCCATCGAATGAAATTGAAAATTTAATCGATTATGATATGTTGTATTTTCACCATATGGAATCAAATCCTTTTTTTTTTGTTTTTTTTTTTTGGGAAACAACAGCAAGGATATATACTAGTAATTCTATATTGAAACACAATATATGATGACCAGAAGTCTTAGTTCAAATCCAACAAAAACTTTAGTTCTTTACAAGTAGGTTGGGTAATAACAAGATTGGGGGTGCCATATTCAGTCTACACCAAACTGGAAGATATCTGAATTTGCATCCAAAAATTGAGGGATTAATAGATTACCCACACCATACCAAGTTGACCTACTTAATTATATGAGTAGTTTTTATGCCTTCACCTCGTTCTGGTATTTAACAGCAGTCTCTTCTTCATTTGCAGCGGTTTCTTCTTGATATATCTTTCGTTCTACAACTTCCTAAAAATATTTTGACTTGATATATCTCTTTCGTTGTACTTCCTAAGTTTTTAGAGTGTTGGGAGTCTATATATATTTGTATTATCAATTCTATTATTGTATTTGAAGAAATTTTAGTTAATTCAGAACCAACTTCACATCTTTCAAATTCTTTGTGCGTGTGCGTGTGCGTGTGTGTGTGTGTGTGTGTGTGTGTGTGTGTGTGTGTGTGTGTTTTATCTGTAACATTAAGCTAGTGGTTGGTTCAATAATCAATACACATACACATGGAGTAGATGAAATCTTGATTAATATTGTTAGCTAAATTAAAACAAGTGCGCAACTGGTAAGAAGTATGCATTTGGTTCCTCTTAATATCAATAGGTACTTCCGTTAAAAAAAAAAAAAAAAACCCACTGTGGGGAGGAGGGTCAAATATCTATTATGGAATTTCATATAAGTTGTATGTATTACGGAATTTAATAAAGGAAATTAGTTTCTAAAACACCTAAACGTTGATCCAATCGAGCTTAACAAACTTGTTCATCCAAGTTATAGCAATCGAACAAAGTGAACTCATTCTGTGAACCAAACTACATTGAACTCAACTCATCAAGGTTAAGGACACATTAGAAAATATTGTTTAGCCATAAAACAATTCCATTGAAGAACATAATTATTATTTCTTTCCAATCCAAGGGTGATATGTAATGAGAAAAATCTGTGAAAATGGCTCTATTTTTTAAAACAAGTTAGTATTTTAGGGGACATTTATTATTATTATTATTATTTCTATATATACTATATCAAATGGAATACCAATTTACATGGTAGGTGGGGCAATTAGGCCATGACTATAATATGATACTTGTCCCGGGCAAACGCCTGGAGGCGTCCTCTCACCTAATAAATTAATATTTAAATAATTAAAATTGATTAGAAATGAATAAATACCCGGAGGCGTCCTCCCACCTAATAAATTAATATGTAAATAATCAAAACTGATTAGGAATGAATTTAGTTTTTATTGAAGATAATTGATTGGTGGAAAATTAATTTTTTCAAAAATCCCAAATAAGTGGAGAAGGAAAGTTCCATTCACTGTCAAATTCAAAATTTAAATGAACATGGACATCTGATCTCTTTGTTAATATTGTAAATATATATATTTTTTTAAAAGAGGGTGACACGTGGCAGAATGGTTTATGCAATCTGGTGCATTTGGAGCCAAAACCTTTTAATAAGAAATCGCCACATCAACATCCTGTTTTCTGGTTTAATAGGGTAAATAAAAGGGATAATAGAGGTCTCATCTCCTCTATTGTAACAAAAAAAAAAAAAAAAAAAAAAGCAAGTTGGGTTTCGTCCGGGAAAATTCAAAATTGACAAACCAAATAGAGTACAAAATCGAAACTGGCTGAAAACTGTTGCTTTTCATCGGCTACTGATTTCGCAGTTTTCCAAGTTGAGGAAACGATTGAATTTCTAGAACAAAGTTTCATGACATGGATTCCGCCCTCCACGACTTCGAAAGGAGCAATGTTGAACCATCTATTACAGCCGCTCCTCCGTCCGCCGTCGTCCCAAATGGTGGCGTTCTACGCCCCCATTTTCCAGTTATTGACTGCCCAAAACTTCCTCAAGTTGGGCCAACAAGTACACGCTCACATGGCCCTCCGTGGCGTCAACCCCAATGCATTTCTGGCTTCGAAAATGGTTGCCATGTACGGTAGCTCCGGCGACATCACCTCCGCTTTCCGGTTATTCAAAACCGTCACTCGGCCGTCGACGTTGTTGTTTAATGCAATCATTCGAGCGTTTACCTTATACGGGGAGTATTATAATACCATTGGGGTGTATTTTCAGATGCATTCTCTGGGTCTGCGTGGCGATTATTTCACGTTTCCGTTTGTGTTAAAATCTTGTGCGGACTTATCGTATATGGAGTTGGGGAAGTCTGTTCACGGGCTGAGTTTGAGGACCGGACTGGATTTTGATATCTATGTAGGAACTTCTTTGATCGATATGTATGTGAAGTGTGGTAACTTGGTGGATGCTCGCAAGCTGTTCGATGAAATGCCCATTCGGGACGTATCGTCCTGGAATGCGTTGATTGCTGGGTACATGAAAGTTGGGTTGGTGAAATATGCTGAAGACCTGTTTGGGAAAATGAGAGATAGGACTATTGTGTCTTGGACCTCTATGATTTCAGGTTACACTCAGAATGGATTGGCAGACAGAGCGTTGAGATTGTTTGACGAGATGACGAGTGAAAATGCCGAGGTCCAGCCCAATTGGGTGACAATTATGAGTGTATTACCTGCTTGTGCACATTCAGCTGCACTCGAGCGCGGCAGACGGATTCATAACTATGCTCTGGAAAAGGGCTTATATTCCCATGCTTCAGTACAGATGGCTCTTATTGCCATGTACTCTAAGTGTGGCAGCTTGGCTAACGCTCGTCTATGTTTCGACAGAATGAGCCCAAACAACAGGAATTTAAGTGCGTGGAACACAATGATCACTGCGTATTCATCTCATGGACGCGCCAATGAGGCTATCACCACATTTGAGCTTATGATCCAATCAGGTATTCGACCTGATGTGATTACATTTACTGGACTGCTGTCAGCGTGCAGCCATTCTGGCTTTGTGGATGCTGGTTTGAGTTACTTCTATTCTATGAGAACAAGTTATTTTGTTGAACCAACACATGATCATTATGCTTGTGTCGTAGACCTTCTTGGTCGTGCCGGAAGATTAGTAGAAGCTTATAATCTTGTTACTCAAATGCCTATGCTAGCTGGACCAAGTGTCTGGGGCTCCTTGCTTGCTGCCAGCCGGAAACACAGGAACCTGGAGATTGCAGAGTTAGCAGCGAGAAAGTTGTTTGTCTTAGAACCTGGTAATGCTGGCAATTACGTCATGCTGTCGAATATGTATGCCGAGGCAGGGATGTGGGAGGAAGTGAAGGATTTAAGAATTCAACTGAAATCAGAAGGTGTGAAGAAGACTCCTGGCTGCAGTTGGACGGAAGTCAATGGGAAATCGCATTTATTTCGTGGTGGTGATAGATCTCATCTCCAGGCGGAGCAAATCTACTTGTTATTGAAGGAATTACCGGAGAGAATTAAAGCAGCCGGTTATATGCCGGATACTAGTTTTGCCTTGCACGATGTCAGTGAAGAAGAGAAAGAACAGAGTCTAAATGCACACAGTGAGAAGCTGGCTGTCGCGTTTGGCCTGCTTAATACTAGCCCTGATACAGTTATACGTGTAACCAAAAATCTACGAATTTGTGGAGACTGCCACACAGCCATGAAATTCATCTCTAAAATATATGAGCGAGAAATAATTGTAAGGGACGTAAACCGGTTCCATCATTTTAAAAATGGATCCTGTTCCTGTGGTGATTATTGGTGAGCCAGAGTCGTTCCAGATTTTGGATTTCAGATGGCAAAAGCTTAATCCTTATTACATACACAGTGGAGGTGCATTTGTTTAGATTAGGTGTTTGGGGGAAGAGATAAAGTAAGGTTTCGATATTCTTGAAAAAATTTGATCTCGTACATTTGCCATATATTTTTATTGCATTTGTGTATAGAGCCAAGAACTTCGAACACAGGAGCCTGAATATAAAGCTGGTGATTCAAGATACCCGCAGTGATGTGGTATAAACATACTCTAACCATAATATACTTTCACTAGAAGGATCATACATGATACAACAGCCAAAAATCTTCTACACTTAGCAAAAATTGAAGGCATTTATTAAAACACTGTAGCGGTGTCAGTGTGCCTTTCAAGAACATCGATCAGCCTACGATTTAAACCAAAGTTCCCAACTTTTCATCACTTACTGATAAAAAAGCTAAGCACGTCTGAACAGAATTAGTTGAACCTGACGTTCTTTTCAAGCCTACAAAACAAAAAACCAAGAAACAGACACATGCATTTGCATTACAAATTAATGGGTCTTCTCGATGATTGTATAAGAATGAGGGTTTGTTTGTCCAATAACTCATTTTTCATTTTTCACTCATTTTACCTCTTAAACACAAAATTTAATGAACAAAAATATTATCCAAACAACTTTTTAATTTACCTTTTAAAATGTTGTGTTTGGTCATTACACTATTATAAAGTCTTTATTTTGGTCACTGAACTATCGTAAAATCTTCATTGCGTTTGGTTACTAAACTATTGTAAAGTGTTGCGTTTGGTCATTGAAGTATTGTATAGTCTTGTATTTGGTCGTTATACTATTGTAAAATCTTCATTTTGATCGCTGAATTATTTTAATTTTATAAATAGTTACTATGATATAATACTTTCTAAATAAAAAGTTAAACTACCTTTTAATTTTGTTGTCCAAACAAGCACTTTCCAATGGACGCGAGAATTTACTATTTGCAACCGTGTTGAAGAACCTAATGCTAAATTGCTAATGGAATCTTCTGTTCACATAGGAAGGCGTGCCCAAAAAAAATATTGTGTTGAAGAACCTAATGCTAAATTGCTAATGGAATCTTCTGTTCACATAGGAAGGCGTGCCCAAAAAAAATATTGGGGGTGAGGGAAGCTTGAACTCTCGACTCAGGATAACTCGGAAGCTATGAGACCTACGCGCTAGCCAATTCCGCCACCACCCCAATTGTTAGCTAATTTATACTTTTTATCGTATCAATATCAATTCCTAAATCAATCGAAGCTTTCTCTCCCCTAAGGTAACGTAATTATTACAATATCTACTCTTCTTATATATATAAAGCGGGAGTGGTGGTTTCTACAAGATCTTTCGTTCGTTCGTCGTCTGTCCATATTTTTTTTCCTTTTTTATTGTTCCACCCCATTATGACTTCTACAGTAAAAACAAGTAGAAAAACAAGTCTAAACTAATTTATGTTTTGTTGTCATCATTCATTCAGGAAGCAAAATCAGAAGTCCAACACGTATGTGATCTGTTTCTTTCCTCTTTCTTTTTTTAACCTCTAATTACATTATACTGTTTAATAATTTGTAAAATGTATTCATTTGTTTTAATATAAAATAATCATGTTATATAAATTGTGCAATTGTCAAATTTACTAAAACTTAATAATAACATTAGTAAAGGTCTATAGATGAATATCCACCATTGGAAAATTTTTTCTTCCAAAAAAAAAGAAAAAGAAAAAAAACATTATGCAACTAAATTCGAGGCTTGAATTTCATACCATGTGACAATACAATTTAAAATGTATTACTCCATTAGACCTCATACAAAATACCATAACCAATGGAGGCAAAGCCCACGCGTAGCGTGGGCAGATGAAACCTAGTACTCCTTTTGATCGGCCAAACTTGCCAGTCAACCAGCAAACGGTGTAAAAAGAAAAGAAAATCTAACCTTTTTTTCTAAAAGAAGAAATAAAATAGGGAAAATTTTAATTAAGGGCATTGGAAGATTGCAAATTATTATTAAGGGCATGGATATTATTTAAAGATTTATTATGAATATTTACACACTTCTAACCATCTTAAACTTTTCAAAAGACTCCCTTATCCTTCCATCTATTTGCCCAATCTTTTTTTCGCGACATGATGAATTTATCTTAACCATGAAATTTAAGCCCATTTTTGCTATCCTTTTAATCATTCTTTTCTTCTTTGTAAATTTTTTCAGATTTACCGATTTGCTGGTCTATCATCAAATGTAATCTGCTTAGACTCCAATCTAACTTTTAAGTTTAAGAACCTATCAACAGGGGAAAAAAAAAAAAGAAAAAGAAGAGGCCCTAACAATTCCGTTTGTTTCTCCCATTTATTTTGACTGCTTATCAGGGTTTCATAATCTCACCAAAATGAAGTATTTGAGAATTGAGAGCTTGCGATTGCGTTGGTCACCTCTATGGTAGAACCAGATTTTTTCAAAACTTTTAGTAATATTTTGCCTCGTGATTGACATTGGGATAAATTTATAGAGCTCTTATGAATTTGAATGGCCATGTTGGTTCTCATTCTTATTTCATGGATAATTTCATTTGATTTGGACTCACCATTGATCGAGCCTCTCAAGTTTTGCGAGTATAAATTTTTTTATTTATATCGTTAACCACACAAAATGTACATTGTGCCCTAACTAGTGCATCTCATTTTGCCTTTCTACACCACTTTCTCATCCCTCCCTATCCATTTATAAATAAAACATTGAAGATAAGTAACGGGCTTGGTATAATCTCTAATCTTGCTCTTTTTGACTCAACATTTTTATGCAAAATAATATTACTTCTGTCCTAAAATTATTGTCCAGATTCGAAATCGACTAAATATGAAAATTCAAATTGGATAACAATTTTAAGATAAAAAAATATTAATAATAATAACATTTAAGTTAAGTACTAGTCGAAGGCTGGCTCCAAGGTTAATAATAACATGAATTGGATTTGCATGAATGGCAATATAAACAACAGGATTGCTAATGATCCGAAACATAATGTAAGAAGCAAGGCTCTGTCTCTATTTCCTATGTTTGGTTGCCCGAGCTCATCTATTCTTCATTTTACACTACAAAAAATGCATAGTAAAACATCACGAAATTAATAATTTATAAATTAATAATTTTGACTAATTATTAATTTTCTCCAGTTCTTTTTCTGAGTAACTTTTCATTATTATTATTTTTTTGGTAAATAGTAATAAATTACAATGCATAACTTTGCATTATTGTTTTTTCCCTTCGGTGAAAATGAAAACCTAAAAAACCGTGTTGAAAGCAGTAAAAGGTTTTTTAAATTACAGATGAACCTCAGTGAAATATACCTTATCCTTGAAGACACATTATTCTTATATAATAGCTAGCACCTACCGACCGATCAATCTCACCAATCAATCATTTTCATCGATAATGAAAGAATCCTTGTCTTCGTCTAACATTGGACACACAATGAGGTGGGTTACTTATTGCTTGTATATGCATTTTAATCACAACCCAAAAAAAGGCTTCTATTCGTAGTTATTCACAACAAGAGTGGATCTAAGACTTGATCTCCGCATGTACTAAACTACAATAAAAAAAAATCTATAAGTTAATGACATCTAAATTTTATCACTTTATAGCTTTGTATTTAATCTCTAAATGAATAATTTATCAATAAATAAATAAATTATTAATCTAAAAAAAATGAAAAAGAAACTTTTAATTTATAATAACTAAGGGAAAAAGTCGAGTTTTTAGATTATATGATTTAATTCTTAACTTATCACCTTATAGAGAAATTTCAAGGAAAAAAATATCTTTAAATTTTAGAATTGTAGAACTGTTTTGAAAAATTATTGTTTTATTATTTTATACTGGTCCACACTTAATAATCGGGAAAATTTGTTAATTTATAGAATATTAATTTATAGATGTTTTATTATTTATAGTTGGGGAAAAATTCCTAAGACATTGCATATAGCTGTTTTAATGCTGGCTTCTTTTTTTTTTCTTGATGAAGTTGGATGCTTGAATCATATGAAACGGTCAATTTTTAGTGCAACAATTATTATCTCAATTACATGATATCTTATGTTGGTTATTATAATCTTTTGTCGTTTGGATTGTCTATTATCAATTGTATTGTATTGCTCTTCTATTGTAGTTTGGTGAATGGTGATTACTATATATCAACTTTGGTGCGATATATTAGAGATTGTCATAAGAGTAATATTTTTCCTTATCCCAAGCCTTCTAAATTAAAATAATATTAAATTTTTTTAAAAAAATTCATTTTAGTTTAAGAGATTAATTTTTTAATTTTTTATATCTAATTTTAATTTTTAATTTTTTTCATTTAAATAATTATTTTAATATTCATATTCATATTTTATTTGATATATATTTTTTTCAAAAATAAAAAAATTTATTCCACCCTATTGACTTGCTAAATATGGTCAAAGTAGTGTCAAAGGATAAAAAGGGTTACATTTTAAAATATAGAGAACCATTTTAGTCAAATGTTAATATAGAGGATTAAAGTGTTTATTTAGTCTAATATAAAAGACCATTTTTCATATTTGCAAAATAGTTACACTAACCAACAAACTAAATATTGCAGCAAAGTAAAGAAATAATGAAAAGAAAAACTTATAGTCTAGTCAATAATCGGATACCAGGCCTCCTTACCTATAACATGAAGACCAACTCCCCTTCTCATTTGCAAATATCCTCCTCCACCCCAAAAGATCCCCCAAGAAGTCTTAAGAATCCAGAAATCAGTACCATCGTCATCTGTCTCATATCCTACAACCAAGACAATATGATCAAACTCAGAACAATCAGTATCCACAATGTCACCTTCGTATTGGTTATAGTCTATCCTTTTTAATAGATAGCTACAGTCACAAGTAGGGGCGGCTTAATGTTTTCGTAGGCCTAAAGCGAATAGTGAAATTGTGGCCTTTCAAATATAGAAAAATTAAAAAAAATACAATAAATAATTACAACAAAAATAACAAAAGTACGAAAAAATTTGCTTCATAGATTCATTCAGAACTAAAATTTTAATATGTTACTGTATGGCACGTGAACTTAAATAGTGTTTGATTCACTTTTGGCTTAGAGTTTTGGGAAAAAACTAACGGTCAATTTTTTTTCTTATTTTTTTTGCACGTAAAAAATTCACGTGAGT